ATTTGTGAAATTGGAGTCCCTTTCTTTGTGAAATCCCCTAGCGTGCAAGAAAACACGAAAACACAAAGCACCCACTTAGGAAACTAGACGAAGCAGAGTTCTTGGTGGGAGAGGCTGTATACCAATGGAATGAATAAGAACCATCTTTCCTTCTGACCTAACCTAATTTGCTCCAAGCAGAACCAAAGCAGCAGAGACCAACACAGTCTTGTTCCAGGTATTAGGGACAGAGTTTGAGTGCATACAGTTTGTGTGTATCTGGCCCTTTAGGAGGGTGGAGAGGACACGTTGGTGGTTATAAGAGTATCTTTGGCACCCAAAGCTTCAAAAGGCTGTTTGGAAGTAGAAGACACCTATGCCCTTAGCCACTGATGACCTCTGTGGCTATCGAGCAGAGGTGGCCTACTTTTGGCCAGTGCCGAGTGTGGTTCCTACGGGAGAAAGTTCCTGCGTAGATGAGCTTCTTTATTCCTGAAAAGCTTTACAGCGCTCAGCTCAAAGGGAATTGCTAAAGCCTCAAGGAACACTTTCCCATTCCTATTTTGCTGTGTCTGAGAACAAAGAGATATCTCACATCTAGAATATTATGAATGAGGGTGGAACTCAGATTCACAAGGGGTTCTAGGACCCAATGAACATCAGTATCTCCAGAGGCCTCACATTACTTGAGACTGGCATGTTTGCTACAATGTCAACCCAACCAATTATATTCCCAGACTACCATAGGGGCCATACATTTTTAAATGGGCTAAAGTTATTAGAAAACCATTATCTCATGATTAATGACAGCAAAAAGGAGGAAAAAAAAAAAAAAGCCAAGGGCTAAAAACAACTTATTTTCAGAGAATGAACCCTAGAGTAACAAAGACTAGGTGCAACACGCAAAATAAGCCTGTTCAAGGGGGTTCTGGACCCGGCACTCATTTGTTATTGGTGATAGTGGAAGCTGGCACAACTTCTCTCGAAAGCCGTCTGTTCCTGTTTATCAAGAGACCCAAATATGCTCTCAGTCATTGTTTTAGTGATGCCACTCCATGACTTTAACCAAAACAAACCCAAAATGTGGACAAAGAAGAATTATCAAGGTGTTAGAAATAGCCTAAATATCAATAATTCAACCTATTAAGTAAAACAGAAACTCCACATGATAAAATTTTAAAACAACAAATACAAGAAATTTAAATGGGCCA